TATATATATATATATATATATATATATATATATATATACTATTGAGTTTTTTCAAAACATTTTTGTGTTCCTTAGAATTATAACGTGTAGCTAAGATTGAGACGTTGTCAGATTTGGGAACCCACGAATCACATTTCTGCTTTTCATGGAAGCTTTGATTTAGTCATTTCTTTGTAATTTGACCTCCTGCACTGTCAGCGATGGTTGGCATGTAGCAACCCTGTCTGTACATTATGTCATACTTCGAATTTAATGTAGATATCCAGTAAAAAAAAAAGCCCATCTGAAAGTCAATCAGCTTGACTGATCAGCAACTTTTAGATGAATCTTCTTTTTCTCCAATTATTGAAACACAGTCCTGTGTACTAAGCAGAGAATTGTGTGGGAGGTTGTTTTTTTTAAAGTCAGTTACTTTTATTATCATAAAAGTTAGATGAAGTCAGAACAACATAAAAATAAACTCTTTAAAAGGAAACTGTTCTTGAACCAAAAACAGGAATGTAAATTTGTTAAAGTAAATTGTTCCTTTTGACCTTTTTTTTTTACATTTTGACCTCATTGCAGTGGCAGCTAACTTAGAACATGTTAGCAGCCTCATTTAATCTCTCAGACAAGAGAAAGGTGACTTGTTTTCAGGGAGGATAAACAAAGATAGTTCTTCATATATAGTTTACTTTGAGATATATATAATAAAGGGTCAGAATGATTATTTAGGGTATTTGGTGCTGGTCCTTAAGGTCTCTGAATAGGGTGTGTAAAATTGGTTGTGCTGAAAATGGCATATTTACTGTTCTATGAGCCCTAATGCAAGTTTGGTTAAAAGCCCTAGAATGAAACTACAGGTTTTCTTCCTTTTATGGTATGATCATGAATATTTAGATGAGCTGTGCGCTGATTGGTTGGTTTACAACGAGCAAAGCTGCTGAGCAAAGACGCATCATAGGAACAAGCACTCACTCATTGAAACATCAAATTGTTGATAAGGTAGGGTGACCAGACGTCCTCTTTTTACCCGGAGATGTCCTACTTTCATACCTAAAAAAATGTCCAGGGAGGATTTCAAAATCTTCCGAGATTTTGGTCGACTATAGTGCAGCACGTAGTTGAAACACAGCGGGCATTTGAACTGAGCCGTCAGGTCCTGGGCTGGTCCGGGAATCCCGGAGGACAGGGGCAGGGAGCCAGTGGGGGCGGAGTGACTGAACCCGACCCGGTGACTAATGCAGCTTGCGGTTGTGATGGCCATACAGCCCCTCGTTTCAGTAAAAGTTTAGCAAATCCTGCTTTGAACTGTCCAAGATTTGGAAAGCTGCCTTCAGTAAAATGCTTAGAGCCAATGAACAGCTGAGCATCAAACTTTGCAGGGATCTTCTGATAGACAACAATAATCAATGCCTGTCGAATCTTAGGATCCTTGGGAGGACTGTGAAAAATTTCCCCTTTCTCCATGCAGCCTGGAACACTGCATTTACACCCGTGATTCTGACTCATTTTTAGCAGAGAAACTGCCTGCTTTGTAATTCTTGTAGAAGGAAACCCAACTGTAGGCTAAATAGCTAAACTGGTGTCTTACATCTACCTCTATTCATGCCAGTGAACCAGTGGACTGGTCTGTATGGTGATTTCGGGCCGTGACAAAAGTACAGGCCAGAACCAAATAAGGCAGCATCCCCGAATTGACATCAATTCAGTGCTTCGTCTGAATTCGCCCTTTTTATGGTGGAAGTTTAGAATTGTGAGATTAGCAGAGAAAGGAGGTGTCGATGGAGTTTGAACTTCTGTAAGCCTCCATTTCACCAACTGAACTATCGTTATTCATCTATGACAATGTAAACTTTTGCGATCAATGACCCCTTTAAAGGTATAGTGCAGGATGATCTTTTTTCGGGTGGTTCGTCTAAATAAGTGGTCCTCCTAATTGTCAATCTTTATGTTTATGTAAGGCCGTGCTACGTGCTCGTCCCCATTTTCACTTACCGGTGGTGAGTCTGACGTAGTGGATACAGGGTAGCGTGTACAGGGTTGTGCACATGCATTTTTTTTATAAGTGAAGAGGGTGGGTATTTTAAAAAAATATCCACTATATGTTTAAAGGATTTTTTCAGGTCACTAGGTGCATATTGATGCTCCATGCGGAGGACCCTTCTCAGAAACTTAGCGATGTAACTTGAAAGGGGGTAGATCAGTCTCTGAATGAGTCATGTGATCCAGAGCGGCACTTTACGGCAGTCTGAGCTCCCATTAAACCAGAGCGCTAACCTTAGAAACTTGTTGTCGTTTCCAACAAACCAGATGTGATTGTTTACCGGATTAGACATACTATATATTTGGCTCTCTGATATAGGATTTAGTCCCAAGTGGTGAATGTAGCCACGTCTGTATAATTTTGAAATGGTGCACTAGATTTTAATGGCGCTAAATTTAAAAGTTACACAGTATTGCTTTAAATAGCCTCTTCTCTCACATACAAAGTGTAACATTGTTGGTTTTTGTAGTGTAAACAATGAATGTTCCCTTGTGGTTTCCCTAAATGCTGTGAGTCGCAAGTCTTTAACAGAAACTTTCAGAAAGCTAATTTTTTTTGTCTGTTCTGTTATTTATCAGGTGCGCTAACCAAGGTAAGAGATTGCCCAAAGCTGGAGGGTGAGCTGCATGACCGATGCAACATCATATCCTGCGCCACGCTAGCGGAAATCCAGCACTTCCACCGCACGCGCGTGCGGGACTTCCGTTCGCAGATGCAGCACCATCTGCACCAGCAGATCAGCTTCTTCCAGAAAATCACCGCCAAGCTAGAGGATGCCTTGAAGAAATACGACGATGAGCAATAACACAGGAAAGCACCAGCCAAACGGAGGGGGAGAAGAAACACATGAGTAAAGAATCAAAGGATTCATGACTCCATCTTTTACTAACATCTTTAAATCTTTTAAAAGAGAAAAAAAATTAAAGATGTTGTGATGGATCTTTCATCTGGCATGTTGGGAGATGTAAAAACAGACAACTTTTTGTCTGAAGCGATGATGAGTGTACCAGCAATGGGGATTTTCTGAATACTCCATGCAACATTTAAAGCAGCTCTGTGTGCTGGGGCCTGCTGTTTGAATCATGCTTTCTGGGTCATGTCACTGACTCCTCTGTTTCTTTCTGAAGGAATGTGGGTTTTAACTTAACATAAATATGGACAAAAGACTTCTCAAACTGCATACATCTAAACCTAAGTTAACATTTCTGATAATTATTCAATGTTTTACTTGAATAACCCCCTCAGTATTGTTTGAATGTTTAATTTGAAGAAATTTTCACTGTGGAAAGTGACAAAGAGGGCATGATCTGTTCCTTCATTCCATTTTGTAAAAATAAAATAAAACCTATTATCAATTTTACTTTAAAATCTTGGACAACTCAGATACTGTGTTTCACAGTAATCTGATGATGTGCTCTGCTTACTCTTGTCGTCTACAGTGCTATGAAAACATATTGAGCCCTGACAGATTTCTGCTGAACTTGACTTTTCGTGAGATTGTTAGATTTGAATGTTTCAAATCTCACAAAAATCAAAAACAAAGCTAAAGAAGTGCTCCTTTTGAAATCCAAAATTAACTTTGTTAAACTACTATTTTGGTTTTATGTGTCCAGTCACACATAGACTTAATTATTTCTATGCCTATAGAGGGATAAAAAAAATCACTTATCTACCTCAAACCTTTCTAACAGCATCAAATATACTTATTCAACTACAAAATAGAAAAAAAAAAGTCACATCTGTTAAACTAATAAAGGTAGGGTAGTGGGGGTTTGAGCTAATCATAATGTGTTTATCAACAAATGGGAAAACTGGTGAAGTTACACATACCAGGGGTTAAATAAAGAAATTCAACTAAACCTCAGTTAGATCGTTATTCCCAACCCATCAAAAAGAACCCTAAGGACAACAACCCATAGGACATTTGCCTTTTTTTATGGTTTTCAAGTCTCTTGGGAAGCCACTCATTGGACTAACGAGAGGTATGATGGGGATAAAAAAAACTGTCCTGTTGTATCTGCCATAAAAATAACAGCGTTTCAGAGGGATAAAATCCCACTGACAGTCAATCATGTTGTTCGTACCATGATGGTCTGGGCCTGTTTTAGCTTATTAGGACAGGGAGTATTTGTTATAACTGAGGAAGCTATTAATTCTGATCTCCAGCAAAAGGGAGAATGTTTAAGACATAGGGTTATCTTAAACTCAAACACCAGAGGTTATGCAGCATGATGATCCAAGACGCACCAATTATCACAAACACATGAGGATTTATGAAGGAATATGATCATAATATTATTATATGAGAATATATATATATATATATATATATATATATATATATATATATATATATGTTGAAAATTAATTTGCAGCTCAAAAAAAATACTGAGTTCTTAAGTTCTTCTGTAGTATATCTATGCTTTACTTTGTAGTAGCCACTCTGTAGTTTGCGTAAGCTTTACAGGATCAGATAAGTGTTTAAAGGGCTGCAAAAGTCGATGTACTTTAGATAAACACTGATATTCCTATGAAGGTTAGGGGATGACAAGAATTACAAGGTTTTTATAGGCAGAGATGTCAGGGTGTGCTTGTTGGTGATTCATATTCATCAGATGCAATAAAGATGCCCCATATTTCCTCTGTATTTAGCTGCAGAAAGATCTGCACAAGTCAATACTTTTGAATCATTCATTATGTGTTAAGTTTAAAAGTTTCCACCGGGTTAATCAGTTCATCAGCATAGGAATAAAGGTTTGCTCTATGTCCCCGGGTGATCAGTCCAAACAGGTCCAAGGATGGAGCCCTGAGGTACTACAGATTACTTGATTCAGCACAACTAACACCCAATAATGATTGAGACACCTGAAATTCCCACTTGTTAGAAAACACATCCCAGTTACAATAACTCGACTGTAATTACCCAAAAAGCACAGTCTGTTTTTTTAAGGTGAAAAAAAATTCTACAACCTTATGTTACCATGTCAGTCAGTTTTTACAAAACTAATGAGAAAATCTCTAATTTACAAAGTAAAGAATAAAGCATCAGATTCTGTTGAGTACACATATTTACCTCAGAACCATATTCCACTGGTTTAGATCATAAACATTGTTGTAATATTCAAACACTGTATGTCTGTTTCTAAAACCCAAATTAACCTGCTGCTTCGTGGGTGCTTTAACTGACACTATCAGTGGATATTGATAATAACAATATATTTAAAAAAAATAAAATATACAAATATTTTAGGACCTTTATGTGTTGTTTTTTTTTTTTTTTTATTAGCATGAATTTTTATTTTTCTGCTCCAGGTTGACATACCATCAGAATCCCACCAGCTCTATAGTGAGGTCATGATCAGTCAGTACATGCAGGGTGACAATTGTTTTTAGGATGATTGAACAGCACATAAATGTGTAGATATTATTTGAGTATAAGTATTATGTACTTTACATCCCTTTATATTAATGTTTTTTTTAAAAGGTGGTGTTTAAAACTGGTGGCTGTCTATCAAACCCAGGGTGTCGGATCACCATTAACTGCTCAGCCATTTCTTTGAAAATTAGATGAAAAAAGCCTGGTTACCAAACTAAACTGGTGTTTTGGTCACTATTTAAACATTAAACCTAGAATACACTGCAGTCTGGTATAGTGGTCTTTCCTTTACATCTCAGACATGTTTTCTATTCCTTGTTTTATCTGTCCATCCATCTATTTTTCCATTTGTCCGTCTGTCTGTCTGATAGACTTTTGGTCTATCTGCTTTCTAATAATTTTGTCTAAGAAAATATATTTTTTCCAAGATGGACTTTATTGTGGAGTTGTAGGGGTCTGAAGGGGTAAATGGGACTCCCAATGGAGAGTCAATATAAACCACTGCTGCTGGAGAGATAAAGAACATACAATGATGAAAAGAGCCTTGATCACAAAGATGCTTGTTAGTTTTACTAACTTCACTTTGTTTGCTGGACTCTGCTGTGTGCTCACTAACTGAAATTCCTATAAGACTTCTCAAAATAACAACAGTTTTTAGGAGTTCTTTTTGACAGCTTTTCTGACAGTTAGTTTTCTCCAGCTTTAGACACTGCCGTTTTAATTCATATGATCTTTGCAGGTTAGGCTTTCACATTGGTTTTAATAAATCAGTGATCTATTACCTCCAGATCAAATTTTATATATATATATATATATATATATATATATATATATATATATATATATATATATATATATATATATTCTTTCCCTTATAACTGACCCCATTAGGCACCGTTTTCCACCCCTTCCCAGGGAAGCAGGGCACCAAGCAGCAGGGGCAGAAAACTGCCCAGACAGGGGGCCCCCCTCCCCACAAATCCCTACCCCAGCTCCAATTCCCCACCTGAGATAGGGATTGGCAGTCCCTGGGAAAAGAGAGGCCAGGAACAGGGCGCAATAGGCGGCACATCAGTCCAGAACCCGAGTAGGGACCCAAGGGCTACCCCAAATCCACTACTGCAGGGCATAGCCACCCAATCTGGTAAACTACTACGAGACAAAGACCATATGCACCCAGCCTCCAAAAGTCCCACCCTGGGGCTCCCAATGTCCACTTTTTCTACCTAGAAATCCCCTAGATTTTCAGAATCCATTAAATAACCCAACCATAATTGAATATTCAAATGCCTTTCTTGACTTTAAAGATGTCTAATTTATGTATCTAGAAGTCACAGAAAGACATTCAGAATCAAATGTGTTTATTGAAAATTAGCAACTAAAATGTATGCTAAGAAAAGAGCATTCTAGAACTTGTTTTTCTGGTGCAGCCAGGAACAGCACCTGATACCTGAAACCACAATCACAAACTTCAGATCAGTTTACTTTGACCGCAGGCTCTTCATTATTAAGAACTTCTTTCCCTTCTTCACTCACTCTTCATTTTGCATCTTTTATTTCTCATCTTTTAAAGTGTATATTGGAAAAAAAAACATAAAAAACATAAATGAAAATAACAAAAGATTGATAAACTTTTAGGAATCAATCTGCATTATCTTAAAGGTAACCTGAGAGTTAGTTCGGATCTCTAACTTGCAACTTTACTGTCAAAAGACAAGCAGATTGTTGGCCTTTACAAAAGAAATTGAGTAAATTTTATTTCATTTTCTAAATATTATATTCAGAAATCATTTTGGTTGTTTGTCTGACAAAGACACTCCTTTTTAGGAAACATATTTTATTAAAAACAATTTTCACATATAACAAAACAACACAGGTATATAAAGCACACAGTTAAGGGGTTTAACGTAACAAGAATGAGGAACATATCTATCTACCTCTCTTAAAAGCCTTTGCAGAGGTTTACTGTCTTATCTGGTTGCAAACTTTGAAAAATGAGACATGAAACTTCAAAATAATGTTAATGCATGGAGTGTCATGCAGAACTATCACCTCCCCTACAGAAAACAAAAGGACCAAGAAACTGCAAACAATAATTAAATAACCTGACTGCCATACACTTTATTTGTTAAGACTTTAATGCCTTTTGTAACCAGAACCTCTTTCTATCAGAATGGAGTAGTAGAGGAAAGCTGCCGTTTTGTTTAATTAAAGATTTTTCCTGGTTTGTAAATTGTTTTCTTTGTTGTTGGATACGTTTAATTGGTATTTTTCATTTGGGGTTGTTTTCTTTGCTATGTAGTGTGTAATTAGTCTGGCAGAAAATAATGATCTGTCTTCTTATTTCACAATGAAGATTTACTCCTTAAATTCCACTGCCCAGTCTCAGGATTTTGCAGTCTTCCTTATCCTTACACCCTTAAACAGAAATCCAGTGCAATTAAAAGCCTCTAAAAGTCGCCTGTTTAATTAATATTGTCCTATTTTATGTCTGAATTTCAGTTTTAAGAAAGAAAGACACGGGTGGAGGTTTAAATTAAAAAAAGTTAAGAAAATTAAAAAAGTTAGAGAAACACTGAAATGAATGAAATTATGGTTCTATTAAAACTTCCCGGTTAAATCGAATTAATCCTGACAATTTATATTCACTTACTGTATACTTGCAGCTGTGTTTGCAGTTGAGCACTTCCGCAATTATCTTATTAAATCCATGCAAAATATCATGAAGTCTGTAAAAATTTTGTGGCAAATTTAGAATATTTTATTGGGTATTAATTATTTTTTAATGCACACTATGTTTCAAATATAAAGCTTAAAAGACGTGTACAGTGAAGCATAATGTAACAACCAACATATTCAAAAAACATAACTTAAGGTAAGAGATTTATTTAACGGATGTTACCTAACTGAGGTGTAGACAAGCCACTGGATTTTTTGTTTAACGTTAAACTTAACTGTGGTAGTATTTTAAAAAACATAATAGTCTTCCTAGTTAATTATTTACTTGACTGCATCCAAAGGAACTCTTGCACCCTAGACAGAAGTCACATGACATTTTCCTCATAAATCTAAGTTTGAAGTCAGGCTAATTAAGTTTGATGGAAGATACTTTAAATTAGCAGGAAATGTCACATGTAGCCAATAGAAAGCAAACGCTTCTATTGATCCCCCCTTTATAAGGCACAGTTTTTGTACAAAGGACTTGTATTCAAACCCAGAACTGGCTGTCTTTAAGAGTTGGAGTAGGGGACCGGGATCTCCAAGCGGTTTTAAACCCTGCAGGAGAAACTTGGGGCATATTAGCACAGCCTAGATTTTCTATTTCACTATTGTTACGACCCCTGATGTTTCCATCCCTACCTGCTAAATCAGATTCAATCGGCCCCCAGAAGGTCATGCCAGGAGCCAGACTCCTCCTTGGGGTCATGGATACCCTTGGGGAGGTAGGGCAGCTTGCAGAGCCGAGTTGGGTGACTAACACATTAGGCATGGCCATGCTTCTCTGCGGCCGGCCCGGGTAAGGGCTGTCCTCACTGGGTAACTGCATTGCAGCCAGTTCGTGCATCAGCCGCTGCCGAGCTTGTTTCTCTTTGCGATGGCGAAAAACAAGAATCAGAACCACAAGGATTACGATGAGAAGCAAACAAGCCAGGAGGGGTAGGATGATGAGGAGGGGGTCAGAGGCAGGACGAGGAAGGATCTCGACATTAACCAGGTCGGGGATGGGAGGGATTATTGGAACCTGTATTTCTGGGACAGGAGGGGTGTGGGGCTGTGGAGCATGAGTGTGCCCCTCTACTGCTATCTCAGGGGGGGTCCCTGATCTTCCTCCATGACTGCGCGTACGGTTCCCCCAGCGGTTGTGGGGCTTTATCTTCCGCTGAGTCTTGTTTTGGTTTTTATTTGACAAAATGTAAGGGTGCAAACTCTCAGCAGTCGTACTGTGCATCTCAGCCTCTCCATGTCCATCATCTAAAGTCGTTCTGTTGTGGGCTCCGAAACGGGTGGTGACGTGCTCATGACTTGCTCCACGTACTTTGTGGAAACCTCTTGTGCCGTGTCGCATTTGGTGGTGTGGAAAGATGGTGAAGTGAAGCTCGCCCTTCGCTGGCTGGACGTTTCCGGCTTTTAGCAGGAAGGTGAAGGAATCGTTGAGGGGAGTGGCTGGTGTGTGGCCACGGGCCTTTGTGAGCGTGGATTCGTTATTGTGGATCTGGCTGTCGGCGTCACTGAGAGTCTCTTCAATGGCAACTCTGCCCTGTATGACATCCCTGAATGTAAATGACCTCAGTGCCTCTGATGCATGGTTTGGATCGTAGGTAATCTGAATGAGACAAAATCATTGCATTAGGAGTTTCATCAGCATCTCCCTACCTATTGCTAAAAAATAATTTAAATTATGCAGCTGCAAAATTTAATTTCTTTTTTTGGAATAAAAATGTTTAAATTCAATTCAGTTTATTTATATATCGCCAATTCATAACACGTTATCTCAAGGCACTTTACCGGATCATACAGTCAAATTGATCCAAAGTTTTCTATCTAAGGAAAACCAGTTAATTGCATCGACTCATTGACTCGAATGCAATCCCTCACACTAAGCTTTTAGTGACAGTGCCTCTTTCAGCCCTCGGTAACATGCTTTCTATAGCCTTTTGCAGTATACAGTCATACAGACACTTTGTGCAATTGCTCAAAAAAATCTTCTAAAAAAAAAAAAAAACTTTAAATGTGAGATTATGCAGCTGCATTCAAGGATTTGTTGAAAATCTACACATATCTACTACAGAGTGTACGGCTGATTTAGGTAGAACAGAGATTGGGATCTGGGGTCAACAAGCCATCTCTATGTTACGTATTTGTTCTGCCCAGCCATTGAAGCAGGTGAGTCCAATCTGCACAGGTTCATTCACTGTGCAGATTGGACTCACCTCCTTTAAATACATGATATAGAGATGACTTGTTGACTCCAGATCCCCCACCTCTGGGTGGATATCAAGCAAAATTTAACATTATTGGAGACTTGCAGTAAAGGTTTATATCTAGATCAGGGGTGCTCAAGTCCAGTCCTCAAGAGCTACTATCCTGCAACTTTTTAATGCACCCCATTTTTAACACACCTGAATCAAATGAATGGCTCGTTACCATGCCTCTGCTGGGCTAAATGAGGGGATTGAGCCTTTCTATTCAGGTGTGTTAGAGAAGAGATGCATCTAAAAGTTACAGGATAGTAGCTCTTGAGGACTGGACTTGAGCACCCCTGATCTAGATGAACTGGGATATACGACACATGCAACCAATGTACAAAGTTTACACCAATAAGGATTTACCTTGACTAATTTGCCATGCTTCGGTGGAGAGAGAACCTCAAAAACTGGATCAACCCTGCTGATTCTGGCGAGCTCGGAGGCATCAATCATGGCTTTTCCCAATTTTACAGCAATACCACTCGGGACTCTAACTGGTTCTCTAAGGTAGACCAGAGGCCTCACAGTGACATTCACCGTCTGCTCCGTCAGTCTCCCATAGTCAACACCAGAAGACCAGGCGGACACTGAGATCTGGAAGCTGTCCTCTGATTCGCTGAGATCAGTCATGTGATAGACGACCCGACCAAACTGGAGGTCTTCGTGCTGGAAGGTGGTGACCTCCTGGTCGTTGATAGCTATGCGTCCATGGCGTGGGTGCTTGGTAACCATGTAGGAGATATTAGCCTGCCTCTGACCGTTGGTTTGAGCCGCCAGCTGGTTGGTTGTCAACACAACCGCAGTGCGGCCTTGAACCAACGACAGGCCTGTGTTGTTAACCATGGATACAGATGGCTTCACAACCTCTAAGCTAAACAGCTTGTAGAGTGGACGGTGATGACCATCGGTGACATTGAAGTAGAAAACTCCAGTTGAGACCTCACCCTGTAGTAGGAATATCAGCAGTCTTACAAAAAAATGAAAGGCGCAATGGAAGAGTTCACTTTTACAGTTTGTACAAGGATTTAGATTTGTCTGTTTCACCTGCTGTGTGAAATGCAGTCGGCCGTGGTTGACGTCATACTGTGTGAAAGAAGTCACTGGCTCAGGTCTTTCTCCCAAAGTCAGGAAACCGTTGTTGGGTTTGCTGATCACAAGGTAGTGCAGTTCTTCTGGTGGAGTATCATGGTCCTCAACCTTTTAAAAAAAAAATTTAGATTTATTGAAAAAGGCTTAAAAAATATTCAGCCAGACAGAAAATCACCAAAACTAAAACTAACAGTAATTTTTTACCAAGTAATAGGGACGTTATGATTACCAGGAAATTATATCATTACTCAGATTTGAAGATTTTTCTTAAGATACTACTCCTAACTGATTCAATCAGAAAATTGAATCAGAAAATTTACTGATTTAGGAATCCGTTGAAATCGAAAAAAAAAGAATCCTAAAAAAAATTTCTTTATCTCACTGAATATATGAAATACATTTTCAGCAGGAATATAAGCTGAGTGACATTGTCTGCTACATTTGTTCTTAATCTTTATATATATGTATATATACAATCAACTTTAACATGATGGAAAATTAACTCCCCTTGTATTTTTAAACTACGTTAAAATTTGTTTAAGCACATATTTATTTTTTCTGTTATATCAATGGGAAATTATACATTTAATCTAGATTTTAAAAAAATTATTCACGTGGTAAACAATAAAATATATAATTGGAACTGGGTTTTAATAACAGGGAATGAATAATAATACTCCACTGGTAAAAGTTTTCATTTATTTTAGTTTAAAAGCTAAATGTAGGACCTGAATGAAAACAAGGAAATAAAAAAATGATACTTCACTTGAAGTAGCACAAAAAATGAAATCCAGAAGCCTTAGGTATTTTGAACAACTGCAGAAAATCAGTCTTGTATTTCTTAATTTTAGTCTGTTTATAAAAAAAATGTATGGCTTGTGCTCCAGAAAACAAAGCACACCACTATAAATTATATACACTATAAATATATATTTCCTTCTAATAGCATTACATGAGGATTTCTTGGAGTAACCTGGATCTTTCTCTGGTTACAACATCATAATCCTAAAGGACATTTAGAGCAGCAGGTGTGGTAGAACTGTTTTGGATTGGCCCAAATTGTACTGACTTGGAATAAGAACAGGATGTTGTTTTCTTCGTCTTGATCAAAAATGACCTAAAGGAGAGCTATTATGAATAACTGGCTCACCTGAAGGTTATCAGGCCCAAGAATGACTCTCTCCCCAACCACAACCTTCATGCTCGGGGCTCTGCTTCTAATTAACGGTGGATGGTCATTGACAGGCGTCACAGTGATGTTGAACATCTCTGTCACTGCCACGCCGTCCATGGTAGGGTGGCGATGAGAAGCCGTGCCCAGTGCTGGGTAGGAGGGCAACGAAGGAGAATAGAGAGGGGAAAAAGAAGTGGAAGACGAGGAATCGGAGGAAAAGGAAGACAAGGGCAATGAAGAGGAGGAAGAGGGAAGATGCAAAGGAGCCACCCAGGCCCGAAAAGTAAAGCTGTCCTTCGTTGTCTCTGAGTCGTCATGGAGGTACATGATCCCAAACTTGTTCAGGGTAGCTTGTGAGAAATCTGTCTGGCTCCTGTGAGAAAATCATATAAATCCGAAAGGATCACCTTATTGAATTAATTGAAACTATAATTTCCTAACTCTCAATTCATTTCAACACTGTTCATATTGCACTTCAGGGTATGGCAGGGTTAAATTAAAGACAGGTAATTTACACAGGATGTCACCTGGTGAGATTGTGTCCCTGTATAGTCAGTGCTCCGTGTCGAGGCAGAGAAATCACTCGGTACATGATGTGGTGGTCCTTTCTGTTGGACTCCGGGAGGTTTCCCAGCAGGTTGGAGGCATCAAGTTTAGAGCGGTCAATAGTCACTCTGCCTCCTTCTGCTACCACAGCACCTGGCGAAATAATAGAAACGAAAAAACTAATAAAATGTGTCCCTTTGAACTTCTCTTTGTTTGCAAGAAAGAGAACTGTGTCCGCCTGAAAGAGAGGAGGTACCTGCATTGTTTAGTAGTCTGGTCCTCTGTTGAGGGTTGCCAAGGTGATCGTTGGCTTGGTAGGAGATCAAAATGGTGAAGGTGTGTGGAGGGAGGAAAGCTGGAGGAGAGGACACGGTGAAAGAGAAGGAGTCTGCAGCTGACCAGCCCACCGACTCTGGCTTGTTCTGATCATATAAGATCAACCCGTCATTCACCTGAGAGGAGGAGAGATGGTCCAATTATTAATTGTGTGTGTACAATAAACTTTTCATTTATTTTTTTTTATATAAAAACAATAATTTGGCCTGATTTTAATAAATATGTTCAGTAAGAAGCAAATAGTATGTATAAGCTTTGTTATATTTTAAAAAATAATGCTAATGTATTCTTAATGTTTTAAAACTAAACCTGGAATATTTCTAGGGAATCACATTATTTTCAAAAATGTTGTTATAACATGAGACTAATGTAACTGTGACTACATTATCATTTAAACTAGGAAAGGTTTAATTTCTGAAGTTTTAATAAATATATTTGGTATTAATAATACCACAAACACAGTACATATCTGTTTTGAAATACAGGATTCTTTAAATTAAAAAAAATTAGGTCAAGATAAATCGTTTCACATCTTGTTTCATTTATAAGGTAAGGAAGGATCTGTAGAATTGAACTGAAAAACAAATAAATCTGTTAGGGGGAAAATATAAAAAAAAATAAGAGCACAGTTAGTTAAGTAAGGTAAGTGGGACACCTTTTTAAATAAACATTAATTCCTGGCTAAAATGGCAGAAAACATTGTGGCAAAACTTAGTCTGATGCAGCTAAACTTGAGGTTTTCTGACGATGCATTGTAAGTTATGTGTGGCACAAATCAACACTCAGCATCACTGAAGGAGCATCATAACCACAGTAATGATGATTGGCTGATTATCCTTTAGACAAAGTAAGTAAAAAGTACTAAGTTAAGACGCAGGATAACATTATATTGTTACTAAATTTACTAAATTTGAATCAAAAGATGATTCACTGAAGTTTTTGGTTTAAGGGTCATTTGATATATATATATATATATATATATATATATATATATATATATATTTGGATTAAAATAAGAAAAAAAGGAAAAAGGTGTGCCATTTCCAGTATTTCTTTTTTGACAGAAAATCAATTTTCTTTGAACTCTACAAAAAAAGCCATTTTAATATAGTTGTAAACACATTTAAGTGCCTTTTCATTTGTTCAAATAACGCTTCTGTAAATTGACACACAGCCTAAAGTAAAGAAAATACAAAAATGTGTTTTCTCATTAGAAATTATTCAGAGAAATTGGTCGAATATTTTAGAAGGAAAGATTCTGGGCCAGATTAAAAAAGAAAAATAATTAAACCTAAAACCTTTGTTTAATTTATAATAGGTGAACATCTTTGCCAATACAATTTCCGGGGAAAACACTTCTACGTTAAACCTTTTTATAAGCAATACCAACAATACCTTTTGACCTTTCAACGAGCTGCAGGTACCTATGCAACTTTTTATCAGCTTATTCTTTAAAAAGATGGCACAAAAGGAAAATACAAATCATAGATTCCTACCATGCGCTGAGTAAACGTGGAAATGTTTCTAAAAGAGTTATCAGGCATTCGTTGAACCAGGCGACCAAATTTTGGAGGAGCAGTCACAGCAAAAACAACAGATTGGTTTCTTGCAATGTCACTGATGTTGTTGGTAACAACCTGAAGCTCCTGCTCTGAGATTGGCGTCAACGAGCCTTAAAAGAGAACAGAAGAGAAAAGAAAATAATATCTGACTGGTCAAGAATACATTTAGTGTATATAAGTATGTACTTTATTTTATTAGAGCTATGGTGGTCGGTTTCTTCTACTGAGGCACAACCTTTAAATAAATTAAATTCATGAAGTTTCTGTTTTAAATAACATAACAACAATTAGTAGTTTAGAAAGGTAGTTAATTATAAAAGCAATATTAAAAACTTCTGGAATGCAACAATGGAAAAGAGGATGAAATATTACAAAGACACTTCTGTCTCGTTTTATTTAAAAAAAAAACATTAAAACAGTTCATTTGTGCTCTTTTTTTCCTCCATTCCGATTTCCTGTTTTAGGAAGATGGGAAATATTATATTCAAGTCACAAACAATGCTGTTATTCAAGAGTTTGTGAAGCATATTTTCTATTGCCTGCAAAAAAAAAAAAAAACTGAGAAGTTCCTGAAAATTCTAGTTTTCACAAATTAAAATACATCCATATAGCTTTGTGAATTTGCTGAAGACACTCAATGTAGATAAATGTATAGTGTTAATGTTTTTTTTGTATTTTATTTTAGCCTGACTTTATTCATTTTAGTTTAGTTTAATGCACATCTTTGAAGCCCAGAGTAAGCGTTTGAACTGCCTCTGATGACGAGTGTTGGCTCGCCACAGATGTTAGTTGCTCTTTTTTATATAGAGAACATCACAACATATTCTGCCACAATTAGGGATAATTGCTTCAGTACCAAGGCAGACTAGAGCGCCAATGACCCCGAGTGGCAGTTTTGAAAATTACAGCACAAGGACCTAAGATTTATTATGCATTAGGTACTATATCCCAATTAGCCAAGTAATTACCTCCACCAAGGAGGTTATGTTTTTAGTAGAGTTTGTACGTGTGTTTGTTTGTTTGTCTGTCTGTCTGTCTGCATACAGTAAAGGATAACTTGAAAAGTTATGAACAGATTTTTTTTTTTTAAATTAACAAAGGTGCACCTCAGTCCAAGGAAGAATTAATTATAATTTTTATGATGTTCCAATCATAAACAGGATACAGGTACTTTTTAAAGAATTCTTTAACATTATTTGACAGAACAAGCAGTTCCCCCCCTAAACCAGAGGAAGTCAGAAGTGACTATTGGCAGCTTCGGCATCTGACTCAAAAAGTCCACAGTATAATACTGAAGACAAAAACATGAAAAGGTAAGCCATCCCTCGCTGGAAGTCTCGATCTACTGATCAAACAAGAAGGCAGAGTCAATGAAGAAGGGGAGCGCAAACCAAACACCAGAGGCTACAGACACACGTGGGGCATTATTTATAAACCTATGAAAGGATTTTAAGGAAATTTTTACTAAAGGTGCACCTCATGCCAAGAAACAATTCATTAAAATTCGATAATGATCCAGATCATATGTGAGGTTTAGTTATAGGTGTAATTCACAATATAGGGTAAAATTTGTCATTTCGTGGAGGTCTGCTTTCTTTAAGTGCTTTTCTATTCATAATTTCAAAGGTTTTGTTGAAACCTTCAGGCATATTATGTCTAATTCCAGACAGTTGTTAACAAGCAATACTGTTTCTAAAAAGTGAGGAGTAAGATATACCTGGGTAAACCTCCATGGGGTGGTTCTTCTGTAAAGTAAGGACAAGAGCTTGGGCTGTGGTACTGAAGATCTGCCGAGGAGCAAAATTAACTCCATCATTCACCTGAAAGTGAAAGCCCCCCGTTAATGGACCTGCAGGGGGGGACAAGACAGGTTAAAAAAAAAAACAGTCTTTTACATCAGAGCCATAACACCATAAAAATATCAGCATGTTTACCGCTGTGGACGAACACCAGCTGCCTGCTCTGTATGTGAGTTTGGGTAAAGTTCAAGATGTATCTAGATGGGGAGCGCTTCAGAGCCAAGTGACCATTGCTAGGTGGTGTGACAACATACTCCAGGCCCTCAGGTGGAGTATCTGAGTCTTCTGCACTGAGTTCATTGGTGCTTATTTCTGTAATAGACCCCACCCACACCTGAAGCAGCAGAAATACAAAACAGGAAGGATGTTACACTTACATTTTCTGAGAAAACTAACCTATCCTGATTTCTCTTTTAAATTAGAGTTGCGTATGTTCTCTTAACTGTTATTTAACCTGTTGAACAGAAATAATGTCATCTCTAAAAAAAATACATTATATTTTTTGGTACTTTCTATAAGAACCCATAAAACTGAGACAGATTAAACAACACATAATTCCAGTATTTATTTTTTGAAAATTAAGAACTGTGTTCATAGACTATTTACATAAACACCGCATAACTTCCTCTGATAAATCTAGTGGAAGTTATTATGTGAGACTTTATTCATTTAAAGGATGTTAATACGCTAGACTCCCTGCATTAGCAATATATTGGAAAAAATGATAATTTTAAATAGTTTATTTTTCAATTGATATGTTGTGTTAATTTATTTAAATAGTTGGTTAAGCAATCATTGTGGAAGCTCCCAGCCCTGTAAAGTCTTTTAGGGATAAACATCATGCAGGTGTGAAATAAGAAAGCCTTCATCTAGTCTGTCAGTTTGATTGAATGACTCTGTAATATATTTTAAGATAACAAGTGTGAAAGGGAACTATATAAATGAAAAGAATCTAACAGAATCTGAATTTACTCACAGTGGGTTAGGTTTAGAGTCAAAGTATTCTATTCTATCCAATTCTACTCATTATATTTATGTGGCAGGATATGTGGATCTCGGAAAACAAAACACTGACCGAGAGAGGAAGAAAGATTAAGGGAATACGAAAATGGCAAACTAAAATTTGGTTAATAGCTGTTTAAAAGCATCCTGTTTATTAAATCTTCAAGTATAAGACTTAGGCTGATTAAATAAAATTCACTATATTCTTATTCCACATTGATTATACATTTTATTTAAGCGTACTTTGTGATTAATAAAACAATTACCAAATTGTGAAAAGAAAATAAGCGAGAATGAATACTCATTTTTAATTAATCTTTGCCATAACATATTTTGGGGGCTTATCCGTGATATACCTGACAAAGCAACAAATCTGCTTTTTACACATGTGCTTACATCTCTGTAAGGAGCATGCATCAATATTCTCAGGAGTCTTTTCTTTAACAATCTAAAAACTCACTTGTAGCTAAACAGCCATGCTTTAAAAGCAATGACTCAAACAGGGCTAAACATACAGTATGAGGAAAAGACCCAGGTGGGTCATGATTAATGTAAAACCAAACAAAGCAATAAAATTAGTATTAATAAACTTCTTCCCTGTGGTAGACATACGGTAACTTAGAGACTTTCCTACCTTTAGCCCACGGTTGGTGGTGACAACAGGGGTCTCATCATTGACAGGTGTGACTGTGATGTGAACCGTGCAAGGCAAGCTATGCTTTTTCATCTCTGTTTGATTGGCTATAATTGTAAAGTTGTCCATCAGAGTTTCACTACCATCATGGACATAAGAGATGTACTCACGCTCCACCTAGAAATAGACGTTTGAATTAAATTCAAACATGGTCCAATTCAAGCAATATATAGGGAAATCAGTATTTCATTTTTTCAAAAAAAAGAAGATCATATTCAAAAAATCAGTAATGCCAATATAAAAGTCTTTGTAATAATACATTAAGGTTTATAATAAGCAAGCATGCTAGGATAATTTAGCTCTTACATATCTGAAAAGAAAGATACAAATTCCAATTTTAGGAAAGAGTTTCACAAAGATAGGTTTGACTCATTGAAATATATTTTTTTTAATTATACCTCTGTGTGTGTAAAAGCATGGATAGGCATTCCCGGGATACGGCTGTGCTCCAAATGTCCACATCTTGGTGAAACAATAACCTGGTAAAGGAAATTCAGCCCTGAAAAGTGATGACTGGCAACCTTGATAATACTCGATGTGAGAGGCAGGGACGACCCTTCATCCAGAGTCAAGTTTAACACCTGAGGATTGGAAAAACACAGAAATAACTGCAGTTGGTTTGAATAATTGTAAAATTACCTCAATCATAGATCTTTATGTATCCCTCCTTCTTTTATTCAAGTTTAGGCATCAAATATCTTTAATACCTGTAGGGGAAGCAGGATCGGTATGATGTCAATCATCACTGTAAAAGGTCCAACCTTCGTCACCCCATTTGTTGCCTCTAAGACGATAGAGTCATTAATACTTCCTGCAGCCTGCTGCTGATACATAACAGATCTCTGGTTGAGATCTTCTTGAGTGAATGAGGTTGTAGGCTGCTCCTTGAAACCCTGGATAAAACAAGTGAGCAAAAAAAACATGTATTTTGACAAACTTATTAAGTAAATAAATTGGTTAAACTAGTCTGGGCTAACTTTGTTTTATATTGTGGTAGCAAAAAGGTAAAATATATACTAGATACTGGTGTTCAAACACAATATATAATCACTAAAAAAAGGTGTTAGGCACACTGATAAATGCTTTAGACTTTTTATTTCTGTCAGCAAAGTGCCACCATATGGCTAAATACCGAAAACTGATTAAATCCAATTCCAACATGTTCCATTTGATCATGTTTTATCTCTAAAAAGCTACAATAGTTATAGATCATTATATACAAATGTAAAGATACCTACCATTTACATTTCTGGAAGGCAAAATCATAAAAACAACACAGAGATTTAGCAACTTTTTTTATTTGCTGATTTGTTTATCCAATTATTTATTACTAAACCAAATTTTGAGAAGCCTCATTTTAAAGTGTTTAACTATTAGATAAAAGGGAAACTATCTGGATAACCACATTTTCTAAATAATTTTTTATATATTGACATGCCTCTCTCCGATGGAGTGCTAGTTATCCAGATTTTTCTGTACTATTGGAGCATTGCATTCATCTATTTGTCCATTTTTTTGCTTCTGGATTTGTGCAAACTGATTTCCTTCTATCAGTGTGAATTAAAATCTAAAAGCTTTCAGTATGTCTAGTGATAATAGGTATCCTGTCATGATGACACAGTTTGCCAATGACAATATAAAACATTTTCTGTTTAACATTCTACCTTTATATCTTCCTGATTTTTGTTGCTTGGTGATTTATAAATGATGCCGACTCTAGGAGGAACTTGGACAGTGAAGATTATTTCTGAGGGTAAACTGTCATCGTGGACCACCTGGTGTATAAAAAGAAAAAGACATCAAACTGACAGAACAGCAACAATAATAATACATATAGATCTATATTATTCAGAACCTGGCTAAATTGGTTGTAATAAGGGACCTTCCCTCTCTCACCTCTACATCTTCCCTGCTTATGGAGGTATTCTGTCCCTCCGCCACCACCACCGGGCGGTTGGTTTTAACGGTTGGAGGCCTGTGATGACTCTCCAAATATATTTTTACCGGCACTCCGATATCCAAATGCACCTCCCTCCTTCCTCTTTCAGTGAGCCTCTCAGTGCTTCTTTCTCTTGCTCTTGCCGTCACATTGAAAACGTCCAACAACTTGTGGCCTCCGCTGTGGTGATAGGCCAGACGTCCTGCCACCAAGTCTCTCTGGGTGAAAACTGAAATGGCATCAGTTCCAATGATTGCCTCCTTCTGCCCATCATTAAAGCAGAGCACGCCCTGACTAGGTGGAACGTAGACCTCAAAAGTCACTTCCTGGGGGTCCCGTATGTCTAGGTTGCTGATGATGCTGAGGTTAGCAGAAGTCAGGGCTGCAATCCCACCCTGCTGGACCATCAGACCCGTGTTGTTCTCCACTTGCAAGTATGGATCTTGTGCAATTACCTTCACCAAATAGGCACATGGAAAAGAAATATAATCTGGTCATATCATGAATGAGATAAGGACAATAATGCTGGTATGAATCCAATTACTAACCAAGGAGCTAAATGTAAAGAGAAACTTGAAATGCGTTTAAAGACTAGAAATACTCTCTTCCTTTGAAGGGTTAAGTGTAAAGCAAAAGATATATTCACCTCCAGGAGCGCTGACACATAGTGTTTCCCATCTGTTACGAAAAGCACAAAGCGGCCAAAGCTAACACCACTGTGGATAAACAACACCTTGTTCTGAGGAAAGACAAGTATATAGTTAGGACAATAATTAGCTTGCGAAGGATGCAATATTTAATCAAATTATTCATTTTGAGGTCCAAATAAGGTAGTGGGTGTAAATTATAAGGATTACATTTTTCAGACAAAACTTCTTTTTTCAAATAAAATATATTTAAAGAAAAAATGTCAAGGCAAAAACAGCAAATAGCCCAATGTTTCACTGTTTCTTAATTACAAAAACATAAAGTATAAGAATTTTCTTTTATTTTCAATTTGTTTAAAGAACATTTATCGGATCCAAAATTGAATATTCAAGTGATTTTTATCAATTATTTAAGACATCCTACAGATATGTCCCTTCAATGTTCTGATTTGAGGGTGTTATTTTCTCTGGCACAAGAAAAAAGATACACGTTTAGAGTGGCCTTTGAATTTTCTACCTAAACATTATAAAAGATTGCAGTTCCACTTTTCATCTCATAATGTTTTATAACTATCCTCCTATTTTACTTAATTTTGTATTCTCTTATTTATTTTTATTTAGCAATTATTTTATTACATTTATTCAAATGAAATTCACTTTTCTCTGTATGTGTTCCTATTAGTTTTTTTTTCCATTTTAAATATATTTGTACACCTCATCAAGATGTTTATAAAACATTATATTGAATTCAACTTTCCAAGCAGAAGAATAGCAAAATATCAGAAAGAAAATCTGACCTTTTATTACAAGTGGGGAAGAAAATCCCTCATAAAGAAATAATCTATTGAATTGAAGAAATCCTTTATCAATTCAATTCAATTCAGTTTATTTATATAGCACCAATTCACAACACATGTCATTTCAAGGCACTTTAAAGTTGACCAGATCATACAGTCAAATTGATTCAAAGTTTTCTATCTAAGGAAAACCAGTTGATTGCATCAACTCATTGACTCGAAGGCAATCCCTCACACAGAGAATGCTTGTAGCGACAGTGGAGAGGAAAAACTCCCTTTTAAAAGGAAGAAACCTCCAGCAGAACCAGGCCCAGTGTGAGCGGCCATTTGCCGAGGCTGACTGGGGTTCAAGGAGACACCATAATCGTAACCTCTTAGTCCTCTCAAATAAAAAAAACTGAGGCATAATTTACAATAGTGAGTTATATTTCATGTATTCAGATTATCAATGAGCCTTAGAATCTTCAGTTAGTAACCTCTGAACCTGTTTCTAGGGGGTATTGAGTCATAGAGCAAATTACTCCTATCATGATCATTGTATTCTTCAAGTAATATATCTTAATAGCCTGAAATTCGAAGAAAAACAAGGATGACATTTTGAAAGAAGTTTTTCTTTGAAAAAATGCAAAGCATTGGATGCCACATCTTAACTCTAACTAAAGCAAAGGAGATGTGTTCTCAGGAGTGGCCAATAGATTGCCCTAGTGATGAAGAATATGACAACCCTCATGTTCTTTGGATTGAGGCAGACAAGGAAATCACTTTTATAATGTAGTGTATATTGTGGCAACGTGACTGTCTGTGGGCCAATCCTTAAAATAGAAGAGACTACATGCTTTTTAAATAAGACAAAAGGTTGCGGCTCTTTATAATGTCTGTCTGTCCGTCCGCCTGTCTGTCCATCTGTCTATAGACTTAGACTTATTACATTATGCTAGCAAGTCAGGATTCCTATGGACAACTGTTTCACATCCTCCTCTGTGACTGATATATATTATTACATACATTTAAACATAAATCAGTAAATAAGCAAAAATGTTTTTTCATGAAGGTTTCTGTATTTGCATTCATAAAGTTGATTTAGAGCTAAAAGCTAACCTGCTCAAGGTCCCGCTGTGTGAATTCATACAGCCTGTGACTTGGATCGCTGGCCAGCACCAGCTCTCCCATTGGGATCCCCCTCCTTGTATAGACCAACCAGCTGTCCTCAAAATCCGAGTCATCATCTCGGTAGCGCAGATCTTTCAATGTCACCAACCTCTGTCCATCCCGGGCCACATGGAAGACCTTATCAACAACCCTGACAGGTCTCTGATCGTTGACTAGTTGAACAGAGATGTTAAAGATGTGCTCCTCAGGGTTTCCCTCGTCTTTCCTGTTTGCCTGTTTGTTAGATTTATACACAGCAATTTGAAACATGAAGTAATCCTGTTTGGTCTCGCTATCATCGTGAACATACATGACACGCTCCTCTGTGATGTCCTGATTGGTGAATGTCAGTATGTTGTCATTAATGGAAGTTGAGTTGGACAGATTGATCTTCCTTAACTGCCCATGCCTGGGGCTCACAGTTACATTATAATGAACTTCTCGGCTACTTCCCGTGTGAGTGAACAAAATGTCCTTCGTAATTACTTTACTTGCTCCTTCAAGGATCGAAAGGCCTTTATTTAGGACAGTTACTGCACTTGACTCTGCTTTGATGTTGATTCTGAAGTCATAAGGTGTTGAAGCAGCATGAGCAGAAAAAACCTGAAAGCTGAAGGAATCTCTAGTGTCATCATGCAGCCTGTTAAAAAGTTCATATTTCACCAAACCTTCTGTGATGTTTTCTTGGCTAAAGGTTGAGTTCCTTTGCAAAACCTTCTGTCTAAGGAACAGCCTCCCTTTCTTTGGTACTGTCAGGACTCTGAAGAAGAGATCACTCTCACTGATTTTAATACCTTTAGAAATCACATGAAGGTCTTCAGGCGTAAGAACGGCACTCTCAAGACCAGTCACTTCCATCTTGCTACGTGTTACTTTCAGTTGAATCCAGCGGATCTCTATAGGGAAAACAACTTCCTCTCTTGCAATCGAATTGATGACTATTTTACATTTGAATTGGTCCTTAACGTTGCTTTGAGTCTGAATTCCGTGATAGGTGCTGAGATATCGGATCCTTTCCTTTTCCAGAAGTCTCTGTGAGAAAAAGGTGGTGGATTTCCATTCGCCACTTGAGTGCAACCTCTGTATCTCACCAAACTGTGGCAACTCTGTCACGTCATACCACACATCTACTGAACTATCTGCCATATTGACCTGTACAGCAAGGTGACTGGTGCTGATGATGGCAGCTTCCCCCTGATTCACCTCCAGTCCGGTTTTATTTTCTACTTTGTATTCAAGTGTCACTGCCATGATTCTTAAAACTACTGCGTTGCTGACCTGCAAGAAAATAAATTGAAAGGAAATGGGGAAAAGCCTTTGAGAAGATACAGTAACTTTACTATCCAGATATTAGGTTGAAAGGTGAATATACACATTTAACTTAACTGATTCAAATTCAGTAGAGTAGCCAAATGTTTACTTACTCTATGTCCATCGCTGGCTCTGAGAACCAGCCTGGATGCAGAAACTCCTGTGTGCACAAAGGTGATCTTACCATCCTCCAGATCATTTAGAGAGAACAAGTTGATGGGCCTAAAAGAGAGACAACATATTTATACATTATTTTTATGCTGCCAAATGATTGTTTGGAGGCTTTATTTTGAAGGCCACAATATTTATACATATATTAACCTATGTACATAAATGCAAGGCATCGTCAGAATATCTCAGATAATAAGACTTACCTGCCAGGGTAATCTTGGTTCTCAAGGTAACCAGCTTCAGAATTTAGGTTTCCCATTGTGCTAAAGACAAGATCCTCAGGCCTGCTGTCAGGGTCTGACACTCTCAGCATATCTGTTGTCAGCTGTCATAAATTACAAATTATTTTAATTTTCTTATCTTGAAATAGCTCAGTGGAGTTCTATATATAGACATTCTGATTTGCCTACCTGTCGTCTAGACTTCTCAGGCAGAGTAAACAGGTTTCCTTGTGGCAAACTAAGAACAGGAGCATCATTAACTGGAGTTATGCTGATATTAAACCGGTGCAAATGACTTTCTTCCAGAAATATAGGCATCTCATTCTTATTGTTAGAGAAGATGGAAAATGTGAAAAAGTCCTCCTGGTCTTCAGAGCCACTATGAACGTACATGACCCGGCCCTGCCACAGGTCCAAGATGCTGAAAGTACGATCCCTCTCCTCTGCCCCTATTCCGAGGATCCTTTCCTGTGTCTCCTCAGGCAACCCATCTGGATCTGGACTTGGATTCAAACGCAGCTGACCACGAACAGGAGGCTCAACAATGCGACATAACAGTTGTGATGGATGGATCCCTAGTTTGCGAAACTCAAGATTTACCTGCCGGAGTGTCAAATGGAAACACATGCAAATATGTCAATCATTGCACCGTTAAAGAAACACAAAACATGGGAGCAAAACATAAAAGGGATCTACCTTTATGTGTTTGGGTTCAAGCAGTGCCTGGCCACCTTCAGGGACCTCCAACGCTCGAAGCGACAATAAATTTGTGACCCTCCTGTAGCCGATAGTCTGTGTGGTGGCAACATCGTGCTCAGGCAAATCTGTGGAACTGGATATGATCACTACCTTTGGAGCCTGGCCTATGTTACAGCCCACAGTAACATCCTTAGTGGCTATGGCATGAGGTAAGCCAGTCTTTTGGCCATTCACTGTAATTTTTTGTAGACAGCCTTTAAATGATCTTCCCCCTCCTCCTTTTTCAAGAGAAACAGAAGATAATCCAGCACTTTTTGCTTTTTCTAGAGCAACCTCATCCAGTCCTCCAAGGAAGAGAGGCCCTTTAAGCTGGATGTCCTGGAGGTCCTGACTCAGACTGGTCTTCACTAACTCCTTGCCTACCTTCAGTTGAATGCTATCAGGTAGTAGGAGCACCTGGATGGTGTACCAGGTGTGCTTGCTGTAGACATGTGTCAGTGAATGCACCTCGGTTTTACCACCCTTTCCATTTCCTACTGAGGCCACAACGTGGCCATTCCTGATCTCCATCGAGACAAACCCTCCTTCACTCCCAAAGCTGTACAACACCAATCCATTTTCTTCTTTCCAAGAAGGGTGAAGTTCACACTCAAATATCCCCTCTTGAAGAACCTCCCATTGGGGTAGAGAGATGAAGGCTTTAGAGCTGGAAAACCTCACAGGATCTTCCTCTGTTGCTGAAAACAGTGGACTGCAACCCAGTGAAACCTCATGGATTCTCTTGTACCCAGAATTCCCCTGAAGGCTAGAGAGTAGGTTGTGTTCATTGAAGACAACTTCATCCAAGCAACCTCTAAAGCCAGCTGAGATGTTTAGAAGGTAATGATGGTTAAGTCCCGCCGTCCCACCAACAAGGAGCCCATCCTCGATACTGAGCTCCAAATCTGGTCCTGGCATCCGGAGAGTAGTGTAAGAGGTTCGGTCAACAGTCATGTTGATGTTGTGCTGTGTGTGATTTAGATCAACTGTGTGCCAGGCCAGATCATTAAAGTGGGTTCCCTTTGCTGAACGCAGCGACCGCTCACCTGAGCCCAGGTCCAGACGTACCTAAGGTGTGTTGGTGGTGGTGAGAAGGAAAGAGAGAACAATAGCAACATTTTCTTGCTATCATGCCATCCTACTTACAGTACATCCCCCCAAGATAAACCAAAGTTTCCAGACTGTTTAGGGAAGGAGATAAAGTTTCTTCTTCAGCCACATTAAGAAACATGTTCTGATAAAAACCTTTTTTTTTTCTCAGTTTCAACATTCTCGCATTAAGTAGCATGATTTCCTCCAGACTGTCCTCTGCATTGCGAAAATATAATTTCCCTGTAGTATTCAATAATATACTTTCCTCTTAATTTTGAGCTCCACATTAATATGCATCTTGGGTGGTTTAGTTTGTCTTCAGTTTAAAATACAAACTGATATCATAGGCTATAGCCAGTCAATTTTTTTAATGCATCGTGTAGGGCTTACCTGCAGTCGTCCAGAGATCAGCTCAAGAAGTAAGAAGTCTCTGCGTCCTGCTGCCAAAAATATTAGCCCAGACTGGCTTGAGGTACGAAATCGTACGTGGATGGACGTCTGAATGGACTTCTCTATAGTTTGCAGGTGAATGTAGCCATTGCCATGGAAGGAAACTGTAACATGGAGGATAGACACAGATGAGGGAAATAGAGTAATTAAAATTTCCATTTAGTCATTGTTTATCTATGAACTTTTTTCAAAATATAGAATGTGTGTATATGGGATCATAAAATTAAAATGAAATGAATCCACTGGTTTTTTTGTAATAGTGTTTGTGAAAAAGCACCTATAGAGGTCATTGTAACGAGTTAAAAGTTGAGATTTGACTTGACTTTCAGTCACTGTTTCATTGATCCTAGCTAACTTGTTTGTCAATGTTGTGTCTATTCTGCACTTTGCAGCTTCGATCTGATTTCAGTTAATGATGGTTAATGCATTTAGAAATGGCTCACTAATGAGATGTTCTGATGCTAATTGGACTTCTCTGTTGACCCAGATGATGCAAATTGACCTTTATTCATTCTGACTGAAATGACATCAGCATTAGCTGGATGTTGTTGTTTTTTTTTGTTTTGTTTTTTGCCACTTTACTTTTCCTGAAACTTGAATGGGAACTTCAAATACAAATAAAAGTATTTTTCCTGTCCCAATCTATTATTAATTTTTTATATATATATATATATAAAAATCCTTCTTCTTAAGCATAGCATTTGTATTCCCTTTATAAGATATGCGGATACACTTCTAGCGACATACTGATATTCACTAGCTATGACAGCCACCTTGTTTTTTTGAAATGATGTTACTGCTGTCAGGCAGATATCTGCATTGATGCTCTTTCAAAAATTATAATCTTCCCCACAAATGTTATTTTGATCTGAAATTCAGTTGTAAAAGCTACACTACCTTAATATGTAATTGTGTTTTGCACTTTAACTCGACAATTGGGGTATTTTTTAACCACACATGGAAAAACACATATTTAGAAACAAACGAAGATATTTTATGTTTTTTTATTTTTCTTTTTTTTTTTCTTTTTTTTTTGCAATTTAGAATAAGTACCTATTTTATTAGTTACACCCACAAGATTCAATGTACTTTAGTGGAACTTCATAAAACAGATTAATTGCCTGATTGTGACATGTGTAAAAATAACAAAAAACAAAACTGCATAATATCAAAAAAAAAAAGAAGAAAACTTTGAGAATCGTAGTGAGAATTGATTCACTTCGGTGTCAAAACTTTCCAGATCCACTCTCTGCTGCAATTGCAGCTGCGAGATTTCTGGGGGATGTCTTTTGCAAGCTTTTCTTGTTTAATAATTTAAAATTGGCCAAGTATGGTCAGACTGGAGATTGTTGGCTATTATCATACTTTCAGGTTTTGCCTTAGATCCTCATTCGGACTTTGACTAGGCCATTCAAGCACAAAAATCTGCTTTGATCTAGGCCATTACAGTTTAGCCATGGCTTTTTTTGCTTAAAGATGACTTCCAAACCCACTGTTTTAGTCACAAGTATTCCATCTTTTTCTACTTCTCATCAGATTCTCTTTCAGTATTGCTCTTTTATTTTAGCTCTATTAATGTTTTTAAATCTAACCCTAAACACATTTCTACTCCCTTCTGAATAACAGCATCCCCACAGCTGCCACCACCATGTTTTTTGTGGGACACCATCTATTTTCAGATGATATTCCTCTGTGGAAATTTTTATTTATGTTGTTTAATAAGGTAATTACACTTTAGGTCAGAACCCAGTTTTATGTGCTGGACATCTGTGCATGAGCATGCTTGTTTCCTTCCATTAAATGTGAATATTACAAAAGGGAAACAACCTTTGCTTTCATTGATTTGACCTATAAAAATGTCAGTAATGGAACGCTCAGTCTAAACAATAATCCATTTGTGAAAACACCCAACAACAAACAATGAGTTACAAGTCAGAGACTTACTGTATGTTGGTGTAAATTGGAGACAATGAAAACTCTTGAAAGGTTTCCATAATTAAGCAATCAATGGAGGGAAGGCTATTTAAAGTAAATTTAACTTTCTTTTTTTTCTTAACGTATTAATTCCAGGGAGGAAACTAAAGCTGGGAATTTTGAAATTAAACTGTAGTCCAATGCTGTGCACAGATGACCATCCAAAGTGAAACTATTAGTTTCATTTTGCTACTTTGTTTTTGAATGGAACAAAGCTTGCTATTACTTACTAGGAACCCCAAATTCTTAAAGCTTTTTACATTTTTTACATTAATCTTGAAAAAGTCGACATAATAACTTCTTATGTCTGGTTAGAAAATATGTTGTGTCTGCATCGGCTACATTTTTTTTCAACAAAGGACCAACTGGTCCCAGGAAGAAGCCCTCAGCAGGCTGGCCCAGCATGCAGCACTGCATAAAGCCTATAAATCCACTGACTGCATAACCCATAACCCATGTGTGTCCTAATCTGCCTCTATGATGCAGCACACTTTGGATTATTAGTAATCTTCCTACTGAAATAGACACCTTGAATGAGGATGTCTACCTTTCTTATTAAACACAATAAAGGTGCAGAGATGTATGCAACTGCTAAATGTAAAATCCAAGACCATTCTATATTTCTCTACATATATTGATGTCTATTTTTAAGGTGTAACTCTTGTAAGTTAAGGGTTTGTGAAAGAGTGCTTTAAAAGCTAAACAAATATTTCTGCTGTTCCCAAACAGGTAAGTGCACACATCCCATCAGGTTATGATCCAGTTTAGTGCCTCACATCTCAAGTTCACATTAATGGACTAGATTAAATAATACAATTATAAAATATGCAATGTAAACATTCAGATATTCCCTTTGGGAAAATAGGTAATTAAGTTTTCAGTGGCACAAAATAATCACATTTTCAGTATTTTGTATGTTATTTATAAAGATGAGTTATTTTTTCTCAGCAGCACCATACCTGCATAAACGTGTCCTAAAGAAATCAGCAGTAGTATGAGCAGATCAGCCAAAAAACTTCCCATTGTTGGTCAGGTTATTATTATCTATTCAGATGAGAGCAACATCTGGCTGCTTGACTGCACACTCCATTGCCCTGCATAGCATTCCTCTCAATGTAAACTTCCACACAGCCTGTACCCACTTTGCACAGCCCGGATTACAGCATTTAAAATCATGTACCTGTGTCTGGGCTGTTTGCAGCACAGCCAGGGGGAAGCTCCACCCACAGACTGTTAAATGCAAGAGATCTTTCAGTGGCTGTGCAATACCTAACCTGAACACAGGGAGGGAGTGTTGCAACATAAAGAAGGTGAAAGGCGCTTGTGTTGGAGGAGGGAATGCAGTGCTTCCTGTCTGAGGAGGACTGAAACATGATCACTGTTGATGTTTCACTGCTAAAGACACAGAGGAGACTCTGTAATCATTCCTACCATGCTTACGTCTCAGGTTATTGTGGGAAAAACAAAAATCCGTAACATTTACTGTCATACAAAAATGCTGCGTATAACACATGAGACCAATCCTCACTGTGGTTTGTTTGTATAAGCTATCAACCAAATGTTTTCATCAACAAAAAAACATTTTACAACTAATTTTTTTAACAGCATAAAGATTTACAGTAGAAGGAAGTTCATGAATGAAAAGTTGAATGAAATGATTCTAATTTTATTTAATTAGGAACAAGAGAAAAATAAACAGATACAGAAGAAGTACAGACCAAAGTTATAGCTTATTTTCAGCTTATTTCCATTCCACTGATGGGTACAAGAAGCTTTAAAAAGATACACTCAAAAAAATAAGATTAAGAGAGAATTAAAAAAACAAAAGATAGAAAAACTAGACAAAGGAGAACATTAAGCAGTCCTAAGTAAGAGCAACAACAATCTCTATAGGAGTAATCACTACTACGAAAGGCCTCTGGAATGAGCCTAAAATGAACCTATTGCCCTTTATTAATAATGCAGTGTGTAGATAAAACAGCATCCCACACAACCCTAAAATGGTGATGGCAGCATCATGCTATGGGAGTGCTTTTCTTAGTAGAGACTGATTAAAGTTGATAAATAGATAATAATTGAATAAATATTTGAACTTTATTGATCTCACATTGGAGAAATATACCTCTGCATTTAACCCGTCCCCTTGGGGAGCAGCGGGCTGCCATCGTCGGGCGCCCAGGAAGAAATCATGAGGGATTGACAAATTTTCACCTTCCCAAAATGAGGCAAGGAGGGATTTATAGAAAATAAATACAACATTTTTCAGATTTTTGTCACTTTAAAATAATGTATCATTCAGTTTTTCTTAAAATTCCAATCCAATCTGCTTTTGCACTGTGACAAAATATTAAAGTTTTAGATAATTTTGAAGGCCCTATATTTCATTTCATTTTTTTTTTTGTTTTAAGTAAAACCACCAGGCTAAATCCAAAACATTTTTTTTTTTGTCCATCTTGAACCAAACTGCTGACAGCAGATGTTTTATTTCTCAGCTGTAATAGACTCCTGGCTTCATGGAACATTTTATGGGTTCTTCCCACCTTTTCCCCAATGTTCACATAGTTCAACCTGCTAGTTTTTATTGCTAAGAGACAGACAACAATAAACAAAAGGCATCAGACACTTATTTTCCTTCTTGGTGAGGGAAAACTTTAACGAAGCGCTGTGATAATCCAGGATGTAATGTCTCACTTCTAATGTAAACTGGGACATGCTCCAGCTCCCCCGCTCGCTCTGCAAAAAGAAAAAAAAAAGGATGAGTGGGTTCACTTTAAGGTTTTAGGTGAATGGAAATCTGTGAATCGGAGCTCATTCTAACTGTGCCCTGCTGGCGCTTGGGATGAGTGCAGTAATTTAGGTTTAGTTCCCAGGATGCTGAATAATAGACTAGAGCCAAGTATCTAAAAATGAAAGTGTCACACCCAGAAATGGGTCACAGTTCAGCTGGTGATGGATTCTCCCAGGGTGAGGGGGTCAGTGTGCTTTAACGAGCCTGGATCTCACGCTGAGGGGATTACAGTGCCTCTTCCATGGCCTAGAAAAGTCTTAAAGATGGTAAAGATGGCAAAGACAACTCCCATCTCAATCAATAGCACCCATAGTTACGACATATAAAAATCTATAATTAAAAAGTACTGTAGACATAATTGCACAAAAAAGTTAGAAAAAATCCAAACTTTAATCTTGATATAGCTACTATTAAAAAAATAAAAAATAGAGGTCATTTGTGGGCATAAGGTGAAATAGACATTTTCACATGCAGCAATTAAAAAAAAAAATTTCTACAATGGGGAGATAAAAAATCTACTAAGATTTACATGACTGTAATTTATCATATGTGCATATATCATAGCAAACAATGCTAAAAAGTTGACCTAATTTGTATTTTTGAGCTACAGTCCATAGCTACAGCTAAGGAAATACAGCCTAACATCTGATTATTTACTCTGCACAACAACTGAACTCCAAACCAATGGTGTCAGTAGCAGTGTTTCACATCCAATGATGCTGTAGCATAGAATTTACTGCATTGGTAATATGCTGCAACACATCATTATAGAGTAAAATTAAAACCTAATTAATTGGATATGGCTTTAAAAGTAATGGGTAATCAAGATCTGAAACTACCGTACTACTGTAAAGCAGTTGTGTATTCAATTAATGGATTTGATTTATGGTACTTCATTGCCACATACAAATAAATGTTTCACAGCTTTGGAATCTTTTAAAATTACACCTATTTTCTCTTATGCTGATCCATTTTCTAAGTTTTATGCATTATAATATGCAAAGGCAATTTTATTTAGCCACTGTTCAAAATGGTAAAGACAAGATAATATGCATTAAAGAAGTACTTGGAACATTTTATTGTGCCACCGAGGTCAGAGAGGGGGATGGTAAGGGAGATGGGCATGTGTCTAAAGCTCACTGTTCCACAACTGTCTCCGTAACAACCATTAGATTATCTACATGCTGGCTGGATGATTTGGAGGCACACCAGGAGAAAATGTATACATCCGTCCTTCAAACACCAATACTATCATAACTAACGGTGGGTGGTAACCAGGTACATTTAGTTACATTTACCTGAGTAACTTTTTGAAAAAAATATACTTTCAGGAGTAGTTTTACTGCAACATACTTTTTAGTTTTGCTTGAGTAAAATCTTAATAAAACATAGAGAAATGTTTGGCTTCTCCATCCATCAAGAGTCACTTCACTAAGTTAACAAACAAGCTTGCTTTCAGTTAATGTTTATGACAAAAATGAGTAGGTTCTATTGTACATAAGCTTACTTGAACTTTCATGACATCTGGAGGTCCAGCTAACATACAGTACTGTGTAAAAATGTCATGTTGATCTTAAAAAGAAAATTGCTTTGGAAAAATGATTCTTCTGCCTTGATTCTTTTATTTCTTGTTTTAATTAACCTATTACAGTCTTTAAAATACCAGATTTTGGTTTGTCTTTATTACATCTTTATCTTTGTCTTTATTACATTGTTTTCAATATCAGATGTCATGAGGAGTTACTCAATAACTAAGGGGCCTTTTTACTTTTTTACTCGAGTTATCTCATGGATTGTTACCTTTTACTCTTGAGTAAAAATATGATGAAGTAGTGTTTTGGGGTCCCCTACCAACCTCTGGTGATAACTCTACCCAGAACTTTTACTTGCTATCGGATCAGATAAAACAAATATTTAGGAATTCAGTAAAATCTATCACATAATATTGCATAGTGAGGATGTCTGATGCTGGGCCTTTTCACCTTTCGAAAACCTAGAAATGCTCTAGCTGTATATACTGCCATTACTATTGTTAAATTAAATTATTCTGGCCTTTCCAGTAAAATGGAACATGGGCTGATGATGGGTCTTTTATTAGAATAATGATACACAAATACATGAATCAAATCAACACTGACACAAAATCAGACTTTTTGTGGATATCTCTCCCAGATCTAGCAGAGGACATTGTATGTAGTTCATTTCTAAACCTTTTGTTATTCACACATAATTGTGGGGGAACCGAAGCTGCTTGTGACAAAAGCATGGCAAAATAATGCAGATTACAGGGCACACTGCTTTGACGACAGAAAGCAAATTGCATACATAAAACATTTTGCAAAGATCTTCTGCTACCAAAAGATCATCAGTTTGTTTAAATTACTTAAATCACAGAGGGGAAAAAAAGATGTTTTAAAACATCTGTTTAATGTTTTTATTTTACTTTCACATATCTGGTTTAGATAACTGAGCACAGTGAAGATCTGCATTTCTGTAAACCGTGTAACTAAAACTGCTGGGATCAATTAAAAGCCTGGGATTGAACAAACTGCTGTGGTAACAACAAACAACAAAAAAAAGGAAAAAAAGAAGGTGGCATACTGCCAGGATGACGGCAAAGAGCTGTTAAACAATTATGAATCAAGGGTTTACTGCTAAAACATTCTTACAGCGATTCAATAATCTGCAAACAATCCACAAACGGCTGAAAGTGCTGATGACCCCCTGGGAGCGCCACCCACACCCTGAGTCTGGTAGGTAGAAGACAGGAACCACCTGGCTATGGATCAGGCGAACAGAACCAAGCAGGAAGAGATAATGGATCGGGACTGATTTGACTCCAGCAGCAGCTAAAACAACAAAAACACATCATGTGGATGGAGCAGTCTGAAGGCTCCCCGCTTCTCACTCTATTTTTCCTGCACGGCCAAGTGAACATGTTAGGAAAACATTGGTTCCAACCTACTGCTTCCCTATCTGGGAAATGAACGGATGCCAGCCTCCTTTGGCCTCCTCTCCGAACTCTTCATCCTTCCGCTCCTTTGTGTCCTACACTTTCGGGCACATTTGTTCAAGCTTGCACGTGAATCGGTTTCAGTTTTTAGAGGAAGAGCAGAGATTGCCTCCATTGATTTCTGAGATTCTAAACAAAGTATTAAAAGAAATGAAATGCGTTGGCATTAAGCACCTGTGCAGATGGACTGAATGAGTCATGCAGGTTAATGGAAGAAGGCTGAAAAGCTTGCATGCCCCTCCATCTGAGGCTTTTGTCTGTTTCATCTATGAATACAATAATTGAGTGACACATCCATTTTCTATTTATGAGCTGTGG